CTACAACTAAGGAAAGCTGCCGATCTTTTGCAATATTCAGTCAAAAGGTCTTATGAGTTTGTAAAATTTATGTATCAGCAAATAACTTGGGAAGAAGCTATACTAATAAGTTGTGTCTATGTACAGAAACATTCACGTTTAAGAAGCTATTCAGGCTCTAGTACACAAGGAATAAGGTTAAGCGTAGCGTCCATACATAGACTTCTTAGACTATTCATGAATGGTACCTATTTTACCTTTGGTAGTAAATTGTATGTAATAGCACAAAGACTTGCGATGAGATCTTGCCTAGCTCCCATCTTAGCGAAAAACTAGATGGCCAAACTTGAGGATTACTTTCTAGAAGAGACAATACTAACCCCTAAATTGTTGGTTGGATATATGGTAAGGAATGTTTAGATAATTTCCAATTTTCACTTAACTAACGTAAAAGGAAGATTAGGTTCCTAGTGGAAATGGAAGAGAATAGGTCCTTACCCTTTTTGGATGGTATGATTATTAGAGAAGATATTTTTACAGAAAGCCTGCATAGGCTGGCTCTTTTCTTAAATTTCTTTTCAACCATAGTTACAAAACTAAGGAAACGGCAGCCACAGAAAGCACTTCCGGTTCGTGAAATAACTTCACTCATCTGAGTGTATGTAGAGTATGGTTTAAGTAGCCAACCAAATCAAGGGATGCCTCATTAAGATCTCGAAGTTGGGTATATAAAAAGTGATTCCAATTGAAGCCAGCCACCTTTTATCTTAGTTTAGCATACTTTTGTTCTATTTCGTAAAGTATGAATTCTTGATCTGATCATGTCTGTCATGACGGTACAGAAGAAAGCTCAACATAGGTTCGTCGGGGTTGCAGGACAGTGAGCCAAGGACCTATTTGCACAATCCAACAGTTTACTCTACGCTGCAATCCTCTTTCGGTAGCCCGTGAGACCACATCACGAATTCCTTCCAAACAACTTCCCCTTCGAAATAGAAAGTCATAAACACAATAGGTCACCAGGGAATTATCCGAAACCAGGTTTTTCTTCACACATCCGCTACATTGATGAGCACTTTCGCTTTTTGAGAGGGAAAGAATGGACTAAAAAGTACATAAAAGTGACCGTTATCAGAACCAAGACAAGAAACGAAAAGACTAGTTGAGCTGTCTCCTTATTGCAGGCGGCTTAAAAGCCTCTATATCCTTGAGTTTATTAATTAAGTAAAATTGGTTGTCATTTAGTTTATTGTCTGTTCGGTTTACTTCGATGGCCTCTTTTCCGTTAACACGCAGACACGCCATGATCAGCAAAACGTGAAGTTTTAGACCATTCATTTTCATCTCCAGTTTCTGCCGTGGGCTCAACAGGAGTTTATGTGTTCGGCCATACTTTATCGAGTGTGATGACAAGTCTATCTCCATGGCAGCGAGCTTAACAAGTATGAACCAAGAGAGGCCTCGAGATCCAACTTTCTTCGCATAAACTCAGTAGACCAATGCGAGAAAACGAATAATGTTAATAAAAGACCTGAAGCTACAAATCACATGGTGAGTGTACGAACTGACAAGGGACAAAGCATATAGACTCGAAAACAGATCGCTTTTCAAGCTGGGACGTTCGAAAAAGAAATTCGTGAGCCAGTCTCACAACAAGATGATTCACGATTGCCCCATTTGCGAATGTAGTTGTGCGCCAAAACTTAGTTTCTCAACGCAACCAACAACTTCTGATCGAGACAATTCTTAAGCTTATTTTATTCTAAGTTTGGGTGATTGCTCGGCTGTCCAAATGAGATTTACATATGGGGAGGATACTCTCCTTTGCCACCCTAGGTTTCATAAAGTGATGAAGAAGTGATATTTGAATGCTGCTGTCTCACGATGCAGTTAAATCGTTTATTAAAAGTTCCTCCTTCCGAATGTACTGCAATTTAGATCGTCTTGACTGCCCCCAAATCTCAACGTTTACTGACGAGCTTCATGGCTGGCAGGACACTTGGGCCTTGGAGCGCTGGAGCGACTAAGCTGCTTAAATTAATGGCAAGCACGAGCTTGTTTTGTCAACATCCATTCCTTGAGGGTATTAAGTATCCTGTGGCTCACTTGCGTTACGAGTGTCGACCACGCTTGGTCGGGATCAAAAGTAAGGCTGACTAAACAAGAAGAAGAAACCTTTTTGGCAAAGGGAAGTTAAAGGGCAAAATGATGCTCCCTCCGAGGCAACCGTGGAAAAAGCAAACAACACACCCTCGATCCCAAAAGAAACGTAATGTCCAATGCCAGGAAATATTATAATACGAAGGATCTTTTTTAATTGCAGCATCCTATAGCCTGGACAGGCTTACAAATGTCCAGGCAGCTAGGCTTCAAAGTGAGGCAAATAAAAGAGGAAATGCCTCTCTCCGTTGAATGAGCCCGCCCAATTTTCAAATGTCAGTGTTGCCAGACAGAGCATACATGGGTTTGATAAAAGCCTAGTCTAAGGCCTACAATAACGGAGAGAATCGGAATTCTTCACTAGAAATTGAATTACTTCACGACTTCTTCATGAGAAAGCGGAATTGTTTTAGGAAAATGGAACAATATTGTTTTTCGCCATTGAGTCGGTTTTCGATACTGCCAGTAAATCAGGTATAAGAGTTGGGTTCACCCTATTTGGTTTAAGATGATGAAGGATTGATAGTTACAATTTATCCATTGAATTTAAAATAGAACAACTTTGGGGAAAACAAGGCTCTGTGAAATTGAATGGAAACGTCAGCTCTACTCATATCATTGTGGTAAAATTCTAATTGCAGCCCTTTATCACGTTAAATGAAGTATGGAAAAATATTAGATTATCGTAGACATTGAAGAGCTTATGATATGAAGGGAAGCTGGCTTTCGAAGATATGAAGAGAAGCTTCAAATGAAGAGCTTCTTTGCACATTTGTCTTGACAATACAAAGGTAAATAGACTGGTCATATTATTTTACGTTCAATTATACCTGAGGGTTTTCTATGAAAACATATGGAAAGCTGAAATCCTTGATATACAGTTAGTATAGATCGACAAAAAGGTGTGAAATGAAAGCATACTTTATTCGGGCTTGTAGGCTCTCACCTGCCTCTTCCGAGCAGCCGGTCCCAAAACACTGAACAGGTACTGTTTTTCCTTCTCTGAAATGTATGGATGCTCCTCCGGCGTGTCGAAGACAAGAAACAACCACAGAATGGAGATGAACACGGAGATGCCTCCAAAAATGTAGAAGACGCGTGGCCAAACGGGGTAGACTGTGCCGATGGCGCCGACCGCTGGCTCTGACAAGAAGCCAGAGAAGACTTGACCGATGATGGTGCCCGCTTGGTTGCCTGGCAGTGGAATGTAAATCGAGAGAGACAGAGCGTCAAAGAAAGAAGATGATGAGCGTAAGGTGTGCTGCCAATGCACTCACTACCGCCTGCCTCAGCAATGCAAACCACCACCGCTCTGGACTCGGTGAGGAGTAGAATTGGGGTAGTTTGATGACAAGATCATCAGAAAGCCATCGTTGCGCAGCACCTCTAACGACGCACTAGTTAAGGCAGTGGTTCCCAAACTTTTCCCAGTCGCGGCACCCTTTTTCAATTAACATTTTTTCATGGCACCCTACCCAAAGTATGACTATTCGTAAGTAAGAGGTAAAAATGAATGAAACTCGTGTATCTTCGTTAGTTTTTTCACTTTTTTTAACATTAAATTAATTTTTAATAATTAATCATTGCACATTTTCTCAAATTGAAGCTTTTACAATTTTTAGCCGCGCACAGTTTGGGAGTCAGTGAGTTAAGCGACACTTGATTAAGCAAAGTCATCTTTAGCCCATATTACTTCTCTGCATCTCTCTGCATATTTTGCATTTTCGCAATGCTAAGCATTAACCATGAAAATATAATGATCGCAATAAAGTCAGTCGCCTGAAAAATTCTTCGTATGCTTGGCCGTGAGTTGAGCAATAATCATTTGGTCGTCATCTGCAATAAATCAGACAAGCATGCGAAAAGTGTAAGATGGTGAAATCAAAGTGGGGTCAGATCGTCGAGAACACACAATCACCCTATTTGGTGCTAACCAGCACCGATAAATGAGCATGTTCTCAGGCTCAGTTGCCCTCGACGAGTGAGATAGAGCATTCTCGATCATCTGCGATCAAAAACGCCAACCGGCACCAATAAGGAAGCAGTTACGAGGGATGAGGTGAAGTGGAGTGTTGCTTTGATCTCATTTTCACAGATCAATCGAGCTGAGAGGAAGACCTTGTTAAGATTTCACAAGTCAGCGCACCCTGCCAAAGTAGTCATGATAACTTGAAGCATCGGACCGTTGACTACAAATCTGGCAAAAACTACACAACTAACGTAGATTGCAGCCATACTTAAGTCCCCATCATCATAGTCTGCATAGCTGAGAAGGTAGGTGCAAGCTCAGGCTCTCTAAAGTATTTATTATTGTGGGGATGAATGTCGATAAAGAAATGCATTCTTTCCAAGTAAAATGCAATTGTTTCGCCATTAATTTCAATTTTTGCGATAGCCTCCGACTTTCAATTTCACTTGGAGCTAGTCGGCAGAAGAGTTACGAAAGTTTGGCCCAAAATTTCATTAAATCTTGAGTCTGCCTAGACAACTTCAGGTGATTTAGGAGATGCATGGCTTACCTTAAAGGTCACATCTGCCTGTGATCCAATGGCAAACTGTGTAGTGGAGTGGTGAGGTGTAGCCGCGAAGCTCGCTGCCCGACCAGGCAAGACCGAAACTGCTTTTGTCATGAGTACATACCGCAAACAGTCCTTTGTTGGCACCACGCGAGCTAGGCTGACTCGAATTCTTATTAAATAAATGCACATGTCTTCGAAACATACTGTCAACAAAACCAGAATTTCATAATCTATCAACTCAAAATATAAGTGATTTTGAGAACTAAGCAAAATTTGAAGGTATCAATGACAGCTCCCATCTTTTTATGTCTTCGTAATTCGAAAAAGTGTAGACCATGCAACCCAAAGGGTCAATTAGTTTTCAAAAGGCATAATCGCCCAAAACCGACTGACTCATAAGTCTACAGTCCTGAAATTCACTCTTTGCCTTTAGAGATAACATGTTTGCTGCTAAACCTTCATAATTCGAGTGATGCTTAATAATGCCATTAGATATCATTGATAAGCTCACTATTCGTCCGCTCAACACTATACAACAATAGTAGACATGTGAAACAACCATAATTTTGTTGCAAACATTAAAATAGTTGGTTGACAGAAGCAGATCAGCGTGAGAATGCAAGAACCACTGAAAAACCATTTGTGTACCAAGAGTCTCGCCCATCTATGAGCCAAACTAATCGGCTTCATGTGTTTCATGCGATTGTGGTCTGACGAAATTCATGGAACAAAAAATGTGGAATACCTCATTTCAGATCAAGCTTTTTACTCTTGATCACTGCTTCAGTTCATCCTGTAACGGATTGCTTATTTGTGATCGAAGCATATGTCTATAAAGATAGCAACTTACAAAAAAGTTCATTAGCGTAAAAGTTCTGTTGTAGAGTAACGACTCCCACTCTCCCATTGTCTCTCTGAAAAGCAATTTTACAAGTTATATTTCAAGCTAGTCGTCCTGTTGTAACTAGACTCAAAAAAACAGTTCACGCTCAACCTACCGGGGAGAAAGAATTC